TGCTGATGCGGGAGCAGGACAATGGCCCGGGCCCCTTGGTGGACTGCGCCTGGGGGTCTTCACCGCCCGCTTCGGGACCCTCCCCACGGAAAGGCCCAGGAGGCTCGAGGCGCCGCCGAATCACCTTAAAATCATAGGACTCCTCGATGATGACCTCCAGCCGACAGTTCTCCCCGAGGACCGGCTTGCCCATCTCTGCTATCCTGCGGGCCTCCTCCTCCTCCGCCGAGAGCTTCCGGTCTCCATCTCCTGCAGCACGAGAGGCGGGGTTGGACTCCGGAGAGGCCTGCCCACGGGCCGGGGGGCCTTTACTGCTTGCCCCTCCGACAGGAGCCTGCGCCCGAACTCTGGGAAGGCCCCGTGGTGACTCCTCCCAGCTCCCCGGCCACCCTCTCCCTCTGCCCCCTGAAGCGCAGTGGGTCGGCTCTGGGGCTCACATGATGGAGGCCACGTGACCTCGGGCAGTGTGTCGGCCTCTGGCCTCTCTGTGCCTGTTTTCGTTACCTACCTCGTAAGGTAGTTCGAGAGTTAAGTAATCTAATTCATGAGGGGCACTCAGCACAGGCCCTGACACACAGCAGACATCCAGTAAGGATTACTTTCTTTGTTATTACCACCAACGTCATCACCATCACCATCACCACCCTTGTGGGAGGACGCCTGGTCCCTAGTCCGAGCTCTGGGGAGATCCTAGAGTGTGTCTGAGGTGGCTCAGGGAAGGGCGTGCCAACTGAGGATCATATATCTTCCAAAAATATCTTGGCCCTTTACTCTAAGCCCAGGGCCAGCCCAACTCCAGCTCTGGTGCCCAACTCCAAGCCTGATTCTGCCTGTGTCCTAAATGTAACTCTGTTACCAAGCCTGACTCCAGACTTGGACCCTCAACCCTGGTCGGACGCCAACCCAATCCTAACCCTAGATCCCCATCTCAGTTGTAACACCCAGCATCTGGCACCGCAGTAACTGCAAGTCAGTCTCAAACTTCAATCCCAGGCCTCCCTGCGGTCGTAAACCTGGCCCCAAACCTCGGGCCCAATCCCCAACCCGGGTACCATCACTAACAAAGAACTTGACTGTGCGGCAGAGACTGCTGTGTGTTCACCCAAATCTCTTTCCTTTCCTGCCAGGGCGAACAGCTGAACTACATTTCCCAGCCTTCCTTGCAGCTGGGCTTGGCCCTGGGTTTGAGTGACAGCCAATAGAGCGTGGGCAGAAGGGATGGACAGTTGGCCCTGGAGAGCCTCCGTGTGTTTCTCCAGACTCTGCCCTGTCTGCCAGATGGAAGCAGAGGGCCCCCGCAAAGTGTGCCATGGCACCGTGGGGCCGCACGGAATGGACACATGACAGGGGAAAGCCACCCACTAACAGGGCAAGCTTGGAAAACTCTGCCTGAGCAAGAAATAACTTCTGTTGTACCAAGCCCTGGGGATTTACAGGCCTGTGTGTTACAGCAGCGTGTGTCACTCGCCCTAACGAACAGTGTGACCCTAATCTCCTGACCATAAACTCCACTTCTGATGGTGGCTCCAGCGCTACTCAGCCGCTATCTCCAAGACACCCTAAATCTATGACCCAGACCCCTCAAAATCCACAACTCCAAGCTGATTCCCTCTGACCCCACCGCAGACCCAGACCCTATGGCGTCCACTTCCCCTGGCCTTGACCACAGGTATTCTTGACGTCCACCCCCACACCCCAGCTCGCACGGCCCCATCTCCAGCCTTCCTCACCTCCCCCACCTTGGGCTCTGCCTCTCCCGGCGCCCCTGGGGGGGCTCCTCCCCCTGCGAGCCCAGCCCGAGGCGACCCCACTCACCTTGGTTAAGCAGCAGAGCTGGGGAGAGACAGAGACAGGAAGACAGTGAGGTTGCTTCGCCGCCAGCGAAGCTCGCACGCACCAGCGCGAGGACCCTTTTCTCCCACCGCCCACCCATCGCCCCTCACCTGAAATCCCTCGCTTAAGCCACTGGGGCTGGCCTAGCTCGATGAAGAAGTTATCCTTTTTCTCGTACTCCTCGTCGTCCACGATCTTCACCTGGAGCGTTTTCCTGGGCGAGGAGGCGGAGCAGCGGTGTAAACCGGCCCCGCCCCCACCGGCGCCTGAGCCGCGCCTGGTGTTTTTTTTCTGAGCCGCGCCTGGTGCCCCGCCCCGCCCCATCCAGTCCTCGGCGGCTCCATCACTGTCCCCATTTGTCAGAAACCGACCCAGAGGGCTATGAAAGGAGCCACTCTGAGCTCAGTGAACCACGGGACCTGAACATCTACCTGTGGAACCCTGAGTATGGCCAGCTGGCCACTGTCACTTCCCACTGGGCCTCTGCTCTTATCTCTTTCCGGACTTGCTGCAGCCTCACCACCCATGGACTAAGCTCCTGGTAGCAGCCAGAGGGATTTGATAGAAGCCAGGTTGTACAGCTTCCTCCTCTGTTCAGACACGTGCATGGCTCCTATCTCAGAATAAAAGCCACATCTGAGGATGGCCCACAGGACTCCATGCAGCCCGGCCTTGTTCCCTTCCCTTCTCAAACACAATAGGGCTGCTTGTGCCCCAGGGCCTTTGCACTGGCGGTGGCTGTTACCTCTGCCTAGACCACTCTTCCTGGGCTCACTTCCGTGGTCTCATTTCTGCCCACACTTCGCCTTCTCCACAAGGTCCCCTTCCGTCACCTTTCTGAATACCGAAATCCATCACCGCGCCCCAGCACTCTTAGCTCCCTAACCCTGCTTGGTCTTTTCTCATATACCCTTCTAATATGCCATTTAATCTATTCATTTATTTTGTTTACTATTTGTCATTTACCTCTTCGCTTTGAAATGTAAGCTCCATTTGGTAAGTTCCTTACATTCTTTGCCGTATCAATACCCTGCACGGTGTCTAGCACTTACTCCACCTTCCATAAATATTTTGTCAGCTCAAATCCATCCTCACTGAAAATCTCCCTGTCCCCATCCTGACCCCACTAAACAGGCTGACCGGGTGCTACTGGCTTTTCTCAGCGTCTATGCTCCAGCGTGTGGCAGGGAACAGCCAGGCATCACCTGTCCCTTGGGCACACATCCCTGCGACCGCAAAGACCCCGAGGCCAGAATACGCAAACCTCCACCATTAGCAACTCTTTTAGCTGTGGCATCCGCGTGGCCCCACCAGGACCTGCCCACGCAGTCACCAGGAGAGGAAGCGCAGCCAGCCCCGCACCGTCACACCGCAGCGATTCCCTATGCAGCGGCAAAACCGCGCGGGCCGGACGTCCTCAGTTAGCGCAACAGCCCCACCACAGCGGAGGTGACACCGTATCCACCCTCCCTCCTTGGGTCTCAGGCTCTGATTATTCCCTTCAGTGTCTCTATTTCCAGCCTCGGGCCTCAGCTTCCCCGGGGCCTCTATCTCTTCACTGATTGTGTGTCCGACTTCTGTCTCAGTCTCTGCCCCTTAGCGTCCAAAGCATGAAATCATCGCAATGTGTCCTCGCAGGGACGTCATGCGCAGCAGCGTCTGGACACGCAAACGTGCGCAGGGCACAGTGACACCCCCATAAGGACAGCAGGTGGGGAGCCACGCCCTTCCGCCCCCTTCAGGGTCCGCAGGATCCGTGCAGGGCGAGGCGGCCGCCCCCACCTCCG